GTATGCGTTTTAAATTTATTTTGCCGCCTGTGTCGCAGCATTGGGGCACCGAAAGGCGAAAGTGGCGGGGCAGAAGGGAAGTGGAGCCGCAGGCAATGGCGCCTGTCGCACGCACGCAAAACTTCCGCCAGTCGCACACATATGCGCAAATGCGTTTACGTGTGTGTATGTGTGGCAGGCCTGGGGGAAAAAGAAAATAAAGAAAACAACGCTGGGCATGCCAGTCTTCATATTTATTTATCGTGCCAAGTGATTCCGTGTAATTGCAGAAATTGCGTTAAATTATTTAACAAGCGGGCGCAGCAGCGGCAGCATTTCAAATTCATTTACACTTTACGCACAATGCGGAAAGGAAATTGAATACAATAAATTTCACAGCCAAAAATGCCACAGACCTGCAGGAAATTATTTTCCACCAAGCATGAGGGGCAAAAAAAAAAAGGAACAAATGTGTTGGGGCAACCGCAGAAATTCAATTTGCTATTTATTAGTATTAGTTGTCTGTGCACCAGAATTTATTGTCTAATTGAATTCTCTTTGCTTTTCGCAGAATGCAGACACCAGAAGGCAATCGGATGTGAAATATACTTCAAGGATATGAAAATAGCCATCAAATGGGCCATAAACACACGACAGCAAACGGAAGAGCTTAAATAAACCAAAATGAGTACAAAACATCAGTAGCAACAAAGCCAAGTCGGCAACAATCAACAGAACAAAAGCAACACTGCCACACAGAGAAATCTAAAGAAAACATAAAAAAAGAGCACAAAAAGGAGGAAGTCGGAAAGAAAAGTGAAAGCCAAAAGCCGAAATTGTAAACGCTCCATGTAAACACTTGAAAGCTCGTTAGGATAATACATCCTGCCCGGCACCGAGCACACACTGGAACAAAAAGCACCACCGAGGAGAAAGTGGGGAAAGTGCGGCAAATAGGGAAAGCCGGGAAAGTAGGGAAAGCAGGGAAAGTGTCACCATGTCCCGTCCCGCGTGTCTGAGTGGCCGCCAGCTGAAACAACGGCACCAACCCAAATGCCCGCCCACCCACACAGACACACACATGCGCCAGGAGGCCATTGCCATTGCTGCTGCCTTTACCGTTACCGTTACCGTTGCCGTTGCCGTTGCATAGTCGCGCTTCCGTTTCCGTCTACTCCTCATTTCCGCTGCGGCTGCAATTAAGCGAAGCGAAGCGAGGCATCCCGAAAAACACACCGAGTATCCACAAAATGGCGCACGAGACCAGCTTTAATGGTGGGTACACATGAAGAATGTGGCACTTAGGTCATTAAAGTGATATCCATTTACTGCCCTTTCAGGAACTACTGCAATGAAAAGCTTTCAAATAGAGAGAAGTAATAATAGAAATGTTTACTAAACTACAAAACAGTATTGAATATACCTCCAATTTAAAAGCCTTTTCTCAGTGTATCTATGAATATCTTCAATCATGTAAATCTCCTTTTCATCATTTCAGATGCGCTTGACTACATTTACATAGCGAATAGCATGAATGACAGGGCCTTTCTGATTGCCGAACCACATCCCGAACAGCAGAATGCTGATGGTCAGGACCAGGACGACGTGGAGCTGGAGGAGCCGGAGGACATTCCGGTCACGGAGGATGGTCAGCTGGAGGACACAAACAACAACAACAACAGCAAGCGCTACTACAGCTCCGGGAAGAGACGAGCGGATTTCACAGGCTCCCTGGCTCTGAAACCACCGCCCACCGATGCGAACACCACCACCGCCGGCTCACCACTGGCCACCGCCGCTTTGGCAGCGGCAGCAGCCAGTGCCTCGGTGGCGGCAGCGGCTGCCAGGATCACGGCCAAGGCGGCGCACAGGGCACTGACCACGAAGCAGGATGCTACATCCTCGCCCGCATCCTCGCCAGCCCTCCAACTGATCGACATGGACAATAACTATACGAATGTCGCAGTCGGACTGGGTGCCATGCTGCTAAACGACACGCTTCTCCTCGAAGGCAACGATTCCAGTTTGTTTGGCGAGATGCTCGCCAACCGGAGTGGCCACCTGGATCTGATCAACGGCAGTGTCGGGCTCAATGTGACCACCAGCAAAGTGGCCGAGGACGACTTCACGCAGCTGCTGCGAATGGCCGTCACATCGGTGCTGCTTGGGCTAATGATACTGGTCACCATAATTGGTGAGTACTCACTGGAAACAGTATAAAATTAGAGGTGCACTTAGAAAATGTCGTTTGAAAATAGTGGACATGGTTTTAAATGGTTGACACGTTAAAACATGCAGCTGAAAATACTTCCGAAAAGATTTCCAATAATTTGATTTAAAAAAAAATAACCTTTTCATATACTACAGCTGGGCGTTTCATATTGTTTTGAGTGTAAGCCAAAGCCCAAACATAGACATAATTATTTCAGTCGCTCAGCGAGCCGTACCACCCAAAATAAATTCCTCGAATGCCAGTCTCAGGCACGCGCCTTCTGCTTGCCTCCTAATCCTTGGGGAATATGGCAAACAATTCAATAAGGAGGACCCGGAGGGACTCGTCGGGCGCCTCGGCTTCAGTTGTAGATAATAAAATACGCGTAACTGATATTTATGATACTGGCAGGGCATTTTATATTATTTATTATTGTTGTTATTATGGCTCAGATGCTGAAGCAGCATCAGCAGCAGCAGCAGCAACAGCAGCATCAGCTCAGTCTCAGTTATTAATAAGGCAGCTCAACGACGAGGAACAAAATGTGGAATGGGTGGACGTAGACGATTCGCATTGGGAATGAGAAAGAGGCCGCTTTTGTTGTTGGCTACATTCATTACACGCATTTAGCCATAAATCCGATGGCAAACAAACCGGCATCCATCTAGGCAAAGACATGCCGCATTAAAATTGACAGTCAATCAATCAATCACAGTGCCCCGCCTACTTCAATCCAAGTCGAGCGGGAAACTTTATGTTCACGTTGTAAAATCCAGAACGAAATGTATCAAAATCAGGCAGTAACAAATGAAAATGAGGCGAGGAAGCAAAATAAGCAGAGCGCCGGCTGAAATTGATTTCATTAATTTAAGTAGATTTCATTTCATTTCATTTCGTTTCATTTAAAACGGGCAGCACACAAAAGTCAAGAGGCAAATAAAAATAACGAGCGCTGAAAAGTATGCTACGGTTCTTAACGCCACTCCGAAAGGATCCTGGCTGAATTGAGCTGGAAGCCATTCACATGTCTCGCTTCCTCTTGCTTGTTTCCATTTTGATTTCCTACTAATTTGTGTTTATTTAGTTTTCCCTCTTCCGCCGGCCTTTCTTTCATTTCGTCTCCCCATGCCGTCTTTTAGTTTTCTTTTCTTCCCGCCGAGCTTGTCCGCTTTTGAACTTTTGCATTTTTTAGTCGCCTTCCAAGTGGGACGGCAGCAGCATTTAGCATTTAAAAAGAAAATGCTAATGAGTCTTAATGCTAATTTTAGCTAGATTGCTTCACGCTTTCGGTCACTCGGCCGGCAGCAAAGAAAAAATAGCATGATAAGCACCCGGAACAAAAAGTCGACTTAGGGGCTGCCAAAAAATATATGAATTTAATGGATTTAATATTATTTGACCCACTTATTATTCGTTTTGTAGCTGACTTCGTGGCGTTTTTAGAGACAGAATTTATAAAGTGTTGAGCAGATTTGACCATTTTTAATAACCCTTAATTCGGACAACTATTTATTTTGGCAAATTCTTGTAAATATTTAAAACTTCTACTAGTAGGTCATAGCTTTTGACACTAGATGTTAATGATTTTTTTATTAGTATTATAATGAAGTGTAATTAAATAGATAATTTGGTTGGAATCTTACACCACTGCATTACTACCCCATGATAGGATTATAACCCTTCCCGGGATGCAATGCCTCGAGTGACCCCCGTGGCGAAGGCACTGCATGGAACTGAGAAACTAAAAAACTAAAAACTGAAACTGCTGGCAGGCATGAGGCTCGTCTACTTGCCTTCACTTTGACACTCAAGTATCTAATTGCATGTACCTACGGTGGTGCGCGAGTATGTGTGCATGTGTTTTGCGTATCTGTGTGTACCCAGGCGGGAGCTGTGAGTGTGTGCGCGCCCCCTGCCGTCGACTGCCGGCGGATTCAATGCCACAAATTGCATGTCTCGCACCTGTAGTGGCTGTCTTTCTCCTGCAGCCTCAAGTGCACCACAAGTAGTCGGCGACAGTGGCGGCAGCAAAGGTGGGAAAATATAGTGAAAGAGTCGAGAAAACTCAGGAAAAATAAGCGCACCAGCAGACATCAAAGGTGTGGTGTCCTCACCCGCGGCGCTCCCCCAGACCAACGAGCATCCAAACCCCCTTACGTCAATTTCACACCCTTCATCCTTGTCTGGGGCTTTTGGCAAAGTTTACGACAGCGCGATTAGCTCATGTCGTTTATTTTGGCTTTTGTGAACTTTCTCTTTGTCTGCCAGCTCGAGTGCAACTTGAATTGCAACAGTGCAATGCTGAGGGACAAGCTTAATAAGATTCCCATTCTCGGCGTTCGTCGGCGTCCATAGAAGTTTGCCAATTCCCAAAAAGTTTATCTGTGCCGCAGAGGTTCTTGGTTTCGTTTTCGGTCATCAGCTGCAGCTCGAATTGAATTGCAAACTTTTCGCCTCAAGTCAATTTTCGCAATTAGGCTGCTAAAAAGTCATGTCCCACTAAAATCGACCCCATTTCCGTTTCCTGCTCTTCATTTAATTTGGTGTACCATTCCTTCGATCTTTGCAGGCAATGTCTTTGTCATAGCGGCCATTATCCTGGAGCGCAATCTGCAAAACGTGGCCAACTACCTGGTCGCCTCATTGGCCGTGGCCGATCTCTTCGTGGCCTGTCTAGTAATGCCCCTAGGAGCAGTATACGAGGTAAGTAGGTGCCCAGGCAAAGCAGGGTGCGATATTTATTTGGAAATGTAACATTTACTTTATTGCACACATTCCACACTTGACATATTCATCACATTCATGATTCTTATTCATTTCTACGACGATATCTATTGTGGACCAGTTCAAAGACGAACGCTAATGTGGCGAGTACTGATCCTAAAATATAGGCCCTTAGGAAATTTGAGAAAAACTCAATGGACAGCGGTTGCCAACTATCTACGGAGTCGACGGGCAGCTTGTTCAAGTTATGAAAATCACAAAACTTTTTAAAGCCCATATGAATCCATTTTCTCCACAGGCCAGACTCAAGAACCCTACGGGAATATTCCTTAAGCAAGAACCTAAGGGGCGATTTTGGATTCAGCGGCAATCCCAAGATACGCCATTTGGAGCACAGTTCCTTACCAGCAATCTGGAATGGCTCCTTGGCCAGTTGTTCTTGGTATAGCCGAAAAACAGCCCAATTGTGCGTATGCACCACATAGACGTAGCTGTTGTTCAGGGTGGTGACGTGATGGTAAAAAGTAGCTTCATCCACAAGAAGCACCAGATCCGCCAACGAGCTGGGCAAAATATTTTCCTTGAAGGCCTGTGGAATTGACGGATCTTCGGTCATAATCCGCAGGCCACTAGCTCTCATCGTTTCGACATTTGTGATGGGTGGCTCCCAAAAACCTGTTGTTAGGGCGCTGCTGGTTATGGATATGTTCGAGCTCAGTAGGATGTTCACGAGGAGGATTATAAACACTTCTGTCCACCTATCCACCCTGGGTAAGCGATTCAATACATTGTTGGGCAGCGGAATACCTAAGAAAAATCGTATGGTGCTAAAGAAGGCATCCGTAAACGACCGATGGTGATGGGAGAAGTACTTGATCACCAATATGCCAACACTCGATACCAGGATGAGTCTATAGACACCGCGCCTAACCAGCTTGTCTAAGAATCTGCTGAAAGGAACCATCCTGCGATTCGAGACCAACAGACAGAGCCGTGAGTGCATCACCACGGGGCTGTATTTCAAGATGGCACTGCCTACAATATGTGTCGCATTGTCCTCTCTCCAATCATCCGGCTGCTGAAAGGACTCAAACTGGAAGTTTTGCTTTCCTGGAACCGGAATGATGTCCGTGGTCACATTTAGGTGGCGCATAAAATTTATGATCAACAGGCCGATGGGGCCGGATACACTAATGTTGCCGCCGCCAGTCACATCCGCTTGATCCGACGAGTTGTACTGCAAATGAATAGGAATTAGCGCTTATAATTTATAGGAATTAAACCACTTAATAATTAGTGGTGAAAGAGTGTTGAAATGCCGAACGAACTCACCCAAAAAATTGATGGAGGATCATCGATAACTTGGAGTACAAACTTAAAGTTGTATTTTCGAATACTGGCCAAAAACGTGTTGAATCTAGTCACTTTATACTTGTGTATTTTTCCCAAATAAAAGTAGTTCCATATTTCCATCTTGAACTCGCCATGTACCAATAGAAATGTGTAATCAATCGACATATTCCAGAGTAGTGTAAATACCTCTTCAATAAAGTCCAGTTCAACGGACTTATTTTTATTTGGTGAGGCATACACAAGGATATACATATTATTTGAGTACCGCACTTTCGTGGCATTGAGCGTAGACAATATTGGATCATGCAGGCCAGTGAAGATAACAATCCTAATTTTTTCATTAGCCAGCTTGTGGTTATCAACCCGCTTTAGATTGGATCCGACCGTATTAACGGGTATATATCTATCCATAAGGCTGCGCTGGATGGAAGGGTTTATGTCGATGCAACCCGTGTATACGGTAACGGACTGTAGTCCAAGAATCGTGCCCAGGAATCGGGTCACCTCTAGCAAGAAGGCCATTTCCAAGTCCAAGTTGTTGTCTAGTTCTCCGACCGGAATCTGCATATTGCCGCTGGCCAAAAGGCCAAAAAGTATAAAGTTCCGTATGAAGAAACGACTCCCCATGGCTGCTTTTCCACTTTGACTCCATCGTTCGACAGTTGACCCTTTATAAAGCCTGGCAATCCCTGTTTGCTTTGTTATTAGAAGCCATTACATTTTACACTCCATACTTGGGGAGCATCAAATTTAATAAGCCATCAACTTTTATTGTCTATTTGACTAACCAGCTTTATGACCATACACCCCCTATATTTTTGCTTCTTTTGTGCCCACAGATTAGCCAGGGTTGGATACTTGGTCCGGAGTTGTGCGATATCTGGACTTCGTGCGATGTCCTATGCTGCACAGCCTCGATTTTGCATCTGGTGGCCATTGCCGTGGATCGGTAAGTAATTACTAAGACCCACCACCACTTCAGGTCCCTTGATAAATTGCCCCTCAAGTCAGCTTGTAAGTGATGTGTTAGACAAGTCGTGTGAGTCGTGTGGTCTAAATAAAGATATATCCGTACTTATGCCGAGATATGTGGGGAAACGTGTTTGAGTTAAGCGAATCAATCAATCAAGCTTTTAGCATGTTAAATCTCTTTACAAATCCAGTACTGTTCGTAAAATAAACCGAAAACACTCAAAAAAGTTGTTAGAAATACCGGCAGATGAATGCCCTGTATGCGCAAAGTTTTTTGTCAATAAACAAAGTGATTCTTTTATGGTTACCCGCCCGTCCAACTTCAAAGACTGTTGCGGTTTCTGTATAGTTTGTTTTTCGCATTTCGCTTCCCAACCAACCACTCACTTAACTGTCATCTGATGGCTATATCAATTTTAAATTTATATATAACTCCTGCCATGGCATATGGCAAGCAATGATACATATATGGGAACATGGCTGGCTGCATGCCATCAATCAATTTGCAGCAAACATTTCAATCAATCGATTAAAAAATAGAACGCAAAACGGCGAACAACAAAGGGCGAACGGGGGGGCGTGGCAGGGCAGGGCATGGAACAGTGAAAAACGAATTGCATTATTCACTTGGAAAGAGTGGAGAGTGGAGAGTGGAGAAGGTTGGCACTTTGAACTCGTTGTCGATCCGAATGTCAGTTTTATTGTCAAGCATCCAATGCCAGCTAATTTTCGTGCACTTGCCACCAATGACAATGGCAATGGCACTAGGAAAATGTTTTCCACAGCGGCAGCAGGAAAATCGGAGAAAAAACTGGTTTGGTGTGGAAATATAGTTCGCCTGGCTGGCAGTTTTATGGGCACTTAGCTGCAAGATTGGCGCAATTTTCCAATCGGCCCGCACGGCGTATACGTAATGCCGTTTGAATGCCGCTGCGACCCGTGACTCTTTTGCCCGTTGTTGTGTGTTTAATGAATACTCAAATGCAAAGGCCACGCCCCTTCCCTTCCCTTCCCTTCCCCGTGGAGCGTGTAATTTCCAAAATGTTTGCTGCACTTGACCGGGTAATTTCATTTTATTTGAAACTGGGCCCGGAGCTGCGCGCTTCCAGCTGCTATTCCCGCCAATTCCCGCATGAACTGAAATTATATGGCCGCATTAATTGGCTTAGCTGCAGGTCGATGCGGGCCAATTATTAGGCGGTTTCAATTAGAGCCACCGGACGACCAGCCTAGCCATAAATAATGCAAATCGCTTTCTTTGCTGCTGCAACGTGGCGTATACGGAACACGCTGGGAGCAGCTCATTAAAATTGAACCGCCCACATACGGAGAGAAATGAGGTCCACAATTGGACGATTTATTTCAATTTGATGCACTTATGTAAATTAAGTATTTGCATACTTATTTTGTTTACAACCAAAAATTACTAAGACAACAATTTATAGATTTTATATAATTTTTAGGATTTCGCTCTGTGCAAAAAAGCAAAGAAAGGAATTGATACTTGTTTTCGTCACTAATTAATGCATTCAAATGCCTCGAAATGGATGCACCGCATTTGTGAAATTCGTTTCGCAACCGCCAACCGTTAAATTTAATTGCACACAATGTGCTTTTGAAAACTATTCCTTTGAAAGGATTTGAGACCAGTGGTCAGGGGGTCCAAAATATATCCGAAAAAACACGCTGATACCCTGTGATGTGGCTGTCAATTGGCAAATTGAAGCGCTGGCGCCGCAAATTGCCTGTCAATAAACAAAGCCAAGTGATGCTTAGATTTCGCATGCATATCAATCAGCCGAAGCTCCGGCTTTAACACACCGACATAGGAGAACCGCCCTATCTTTGGCACCTCGAAAAACGCCACTCGCCTGTCAGCTGGACACCGAGAAGAAAGTCCAAGTCCCACTTCACATTATGATTGTATACCGGACTGCGTATTCCGTAGTTATGGAGTGGGCATGGGGCAATGCCACTTCCATTTCTGCTGGCAAATATGCAAATGACGAGGCATGACAGCCAGTGATGATGATTTGCCCGAGTGCCACATCATCGTCAAGATAAAAGGCCTCCGGCTCAGGTCCAGACTTTTTGGGGCTCAAGTTGAGTCGAATTGCAAAGGGAGTGGGGTAAACAATTACCCCGAGAGGGCTTTAGGGCACATTTTATTTGTTAGTTGTCACTAGATATTTAAAATGGAAAGTCTTTGTTTTATCACCAAATGAAATGAAAATTAATGTGCTTTTAAGCAAGGCACAAGGCATTTACAGCAGGACGAAACGAGATGGGAGCGGTGCATTAATAAATTAAGTTTGTCAAATGGCCCACAAGCTCTGCTCGCCCAAGCCGGATGATAAATAGTTGCCGACATTCGACTACAATAATATTTGCAAGTATTTGCCGTTAGGACAGCCAAATCTTTGACAATACGATGCTGGGACATTTGCGAGGGGCTGTTGGAAGTGGTTAACATTTTCCGAGTTCATTTTCCATGTCAGTAATTTTTAAGCAATTAAGACAGAGTGCCAACAGTATTTGCTGAAGCTGGAGATTCGAGGGGTTCACAGAGGGCAGCCGGCATATAAAAAAGAACACGAAGCCGTGAAACAAGTGAACTGAGCAGCAGCGCCAGAGAATTTTTCCTTTGCTATTTGCCAGCACAATAAAGCCTCTACACGCGAAAAAGGAGGGAACTGTCAATTAAATAATTAAAAATGTTATACTTTTGACAAAAATTACTGATGCATAGCTGAGTGTGCCCAGACTGGCATATAGAGCGAGTGTAACCGTGCCACAAATGAAAAGGTAAAAATTAGTACATTTTTAGTATAATTGAATGCAAGCAGGGCTTATGATAACAAATATTTTAATAACTTATGTCAAAAATGAGGTATTTACAATAAATAAATTTGAAATGAACACATGGTTCCCGAATGACTCCATTTTTTCCTTGTGTAACAAAAGAAACCAAGAATTGGGATTCGGCACCGACAAATGGCGCCCGGACATTAATCTTCATGGCACTGACCCAACGATTCGGCCGCTTCTGTCGAATGCCTTTGGTACTCGGAATATATGCACATATAGAACAGGCTCTCTTACACATACAATCATACACTCATGCACTGGAGCTCGATGTGCATAAATTTCATGCTCTGCATGCTGCTGCTGACGTCATTATTAGTGGCAGCACACGAAACCAACAACAAAAGCATCGGCTGGCCGCACCGAATGATAAATGCCTCGCGGCTTTGCGTTCCACGCAGCCCTGGTCGAAAGCATTTAAATGCCAAGTTTTCGCAGAGGCCCCCAGAATATGGCCTCCATCTGGCTCCCTTGCCCCTTGGAAAGCGAGATCATGGTACTATATCCTCATTGCATACTGCTAACCACATTGACCAACAGTTTGTCGGCCATGTTGCTGCCGAGCTCATGTTGCTCGTGTGCATCGCTGCTCATGTTGCACATGTGCTGTTGCTGCTGCTGCTGCTGCTGCTGCTGTTCGCACATTTATGACATATTCAATTAAATTTCAATTAAGTTTACATAGTTTTTACGTAAATATTTTACAATTTAGCACTTAAAACGTAATTACATGTTCATATTCACTACCATCGTCGATGCACTGGACTCCAAGCTGCTATCCTCGTTTTTGGTATCGCTGTAGTTGCTGCTGCTGCTGCTGCTGCTGCAACTCTAACCACAACTACAGTAGAACAATAAGGATAACAACTACAGCTGCGTCCCATGTGCTGTGTGCCATGTGTAATTGTAATTGCTGTTGTCACACGATTACTTTTTTTGTTCGGCTTGGTCGAAAGCCAAATGCTGAATGGAAAAAAGTATACAACAATGGGGACACGTTTAAATTTGCATGCCAGCGTGTATCCGGAATAAAATTCAAGGATTTTATCATTTGTTCCAACAAAACGAAGTACCAGAAATAATGCTGATACTTTAATTCAAGAGATTAAATGTTTTAATAGAGCTTCTGATTTCACATAAGTAATCAAAATGTGAAGTACAGTTACGAATTTCATTATCAGCTTTCAACATTTTGGTTTATATCATTAAACTCACTAGCAGGTATTCATGGTGAATTTTTCAAGCTAATATTTTGATTCACTTAGCGCAAATGAGAAAACTTTTCGCTGCCACTGTGCACGCTCGGCTAAGTGCATTTCCACATTGTACTTATTTTACATAATTTTCATACTGTCGCGTTGCGTTTTAGGCAATGGCTCCTGGACCCCCGACCCCTGACCCCGTTACCCCCCGACCCTTGACCATTAACCCTTGCAACCGCATGGCCGCAACTTTCGTGGGCGGTGTGAAATTGCTGGGTGTGTGTGTGTGTGGGTGTGGGCGGGGCAGGGGGCACTTTTGTAATTGCACAAATGTTGGAACAATTTTTGGGACAACCGAGGTGGCTGGACAAGCTCATCTGGCAGATTAGAGATTGGCCTGAACAAAAGCATAACCTTAATTAAATTGGCAGTTAAACAAACGCATTTAACAGTATAATTAGTTTTCCTGGGCTGCTAACACGCACGTACACATACTGACTACGCTTCATTTGCCTTAAACATTGGCTGTGTGTAATGTGTGCTTTGTGTGTGTCTCTTTTCAAATGTTTAATGAGACAAAGTAGCAAA